AATGTCTTCTGAACATGTTTTATAGATTCTGGAACACAGTGAGTGACTAAGATTTCTTTTACAACTAAGTGGTACCTAACTGTTAAAGTTAGTCGAAGCTGGTTTGTAGTAGATTGACTTATGAATCGAGCCATCATCATATCTCTCTAACATTACGTCTAAAAAGTGGAACTTTGAATTTAACTCTTCTTCTACAGTGAATTTAATGGACGGGTGACAATCATTGAAACGTCGTAGCAGCTCGTCCACTGAAGATGTTTCGTCACAAATAAGAAAAGTACCATCAATATGCTTTTTATACAAATAACGTTTTAAGGCTATTTCTTTTAGTGGTCCATTTACGAGCTTTGCCATAAAGATATCAACCAAGATGGGGACTAGCGGAGACCTCATTGCGACTCCCCCAGTCTGATTATAAATCATACCATTAAGTCTGAACAACACATTAAACGTACATCTCAATAGCAGTTTTTTTTTAGGTAGCTCGTAGGTAATCCAGTATTAATATTACTAGAATCAATGTACTCGCATAGATAACAAACAGTTTCTATAAGTGGAACATTAGTAAACAAAGAGGAAACATCATGCGATATCAAGCGTTTACCCGTTACGCTGATTTTTTCGATTCAGAGAACAAAACCAAATGTATCGAGAAGATTAGATTTGCATAGATTCGATCTCAAAGGTTCAAGAATCTCAAGCCACTTCGCCAATAAGTGATAAGGTGAATTAAGCATATCCAATACTGGGCGAAGAAGAAGGTCATCTTTCTGAATCTTCGTCAGTCCATTTGTATGTTTGAACCAGATGGTCTAAAATGTTCGGGGTAATTAAGGATCTTTTTTTAATTATCTTAAAATTTTTGTGATTTGATTTTCAATATCTTCTGTTCTGTCCTTCTGATTTTTGGATTTTAGAAATTTATTATCATCGGTAAGAATTAAGCATACTTTATTAATATAAGTCGACCAATCCGAAACAACGATACCAGATCCTTTGTCTGGACGTACAAGTGTAATACTCTTGTTATTTAATAGTTCTTACAATTGCAATTTGTACTCTTTAAATATCATACCTTATTGCCGACATGATGTTTCCAAATATTGATAGCAACAATGTAATATTGTGGATTTGAAACGTTCAAAGCTTTCAGATGACACCGGGATTAAATCTCAAGTCTGGCTGATAAAATTCTAAAATTTCATTTTTGCATCAAGTTCACTAGATTTAGTTGAAGCACAAAACTTTAGTTTCAAAGACAAAATCTACATCCGAGTGTTTGACAGGGTTATACTGGAGTGGTTAAACACGTATCTATTCGGGATGCCTAGAAAATTTTCTTGTGACTCAGTAGTCTTGAAACTTTTCAGTAATTTCATTCTTACATCTTCACATCTCTTCTTTATTACCTCTGATACATAAAAGTCAAATGAATCATTTTCTTCACTTGTTATTTCGAAAATAAAATGCTGTCGTTGGGAAATACTTCTTTTGAGTTCAGGGAAGGCGTACACAGATAGCATCAACTAGATTTAAAGCATATCTCTTCAACGTTTGACCATTAGCCTAAATGTGATTACAACGCAAAGCTTCCCAGAAAAAATTTGGATATTCATATTTCACAATGCAATTGTTCAGTACATCGATTTTAGGATTCGCATGAGCAAGCTTGATAGAATAACGAAGAAAATTACTGAGTCTCTTCACGGTCACTGGGTACTTACAATGCCATTTATTTACGAATAAAAATAAGACATGTATCAGTGCATAAATGGTTATATTTCGTCACTTCAATTTCGATTTAATTTTTTCGTCAATAAGCCAGAATGACATTACGTTAACTTTCATAGTTTCTGCCCAATACAGTACAAACGAGGCTTAGTAAAATGTCTATTCAAAAGGACCCAATGTATACGTACAACAGATACATTGGAAGATTTCAAATTTTTAACGGAGATATTCAAGGAAAACTCATATCCTCTGAAGTTTATCAATCGTTATAAAAACGTTTCAGCAGTGCTTACTAATCAGTATTCTGTCCCAGAGAAGGACGTTTACATCACGGTACCCTATAAGAGGGGAGGGGGGGGGTCGAATAGTATGATCTTAAGACGAAGGCTTACTTCAGTTGTTAGGAAGACATACTATGCATTCAAGCTCAGTATTATCGCGAAAACGAAGCCCATGCTTCAAAATAAACCTCACCACCACATAGATGATCACGTCACATCCCTGTGTGTACCAATTTACATGTGTGTGCGGTGACACACACTGGAAAGAGTAATCGAACTATGAGGTTAAGGATGATGAATCATGCACCTAAATAGCTACAAAAACAATTAGATTTAAATAATTTGATAAATACAGGAGGCAGACCGACATAATGCTCAATAGGTAAGCACATTATAGAAATTGGCGACAAGACTAACCTCGAAACAGCCTTTGGACCATTGTTTCAGAGCCATCAAGCCTTAACTATGCAAAAGTTCAAACCCCCCCTTTGTATATTCAAAAACACCATCCTTACTGATCTCAGTGATCAGCAGAGGAATCCAGGACGCGCGTCTCGTCCTAATCCGGACTCGTCAGCTGGATATACCTGCACCCAAGTGAATGATGTCCCTGTTGAGGCTAAAACCCAGTACCCTTCCCTCCAAATGCTATCTACTAAGCCACCGGGGCACGATGACCACCTCTTGCGCAACGGGTATCAGTTGTTGTAATGATACTTGTAATTTCCCACTGCTATACTCTGCCGAACTGCCGGACCTTTGACCAGTCCCAAATAGGACGAAACGTGCTACCTGGATTCCTCTACTACTCACCAAGATCAGTATAACATCATGAATCTCCGGCAGTATCGAGGCATCCGCATAGCAGCCCATTTGCCTACAGAGGTCGAGCAACTCGGCCCTATATAGCAACGGGGAATTACAAGTATCGTTACAAGTTGTCCTCACCTTAAACCTACCTTGATAATCTTTATCTTATTTTAATGCCAAGGGAGGTGTGAAAATGTATTATTCTTCCTTATTATACCTATATTTTCTAAAGCTTGTATTATCTTTATTTATTTATTTTACCCCACCCTATTTTCATCCATTATATAAAATGCCTTGACAAGCTAATGTGCGATCAGATTATTCGATAGCCTCCGTCTTCTTATTATACTGTGCAGATATGCCAGCAGCAATTCTTATCGACTGAAAGAGCCATCAAAGGGTTCAGGACCATTTTCAGCGAGGGCGAGATGAGCTAGATGCCCCTGAAGTGGCCAATTAGAAGCTAGTAAACTAATCATAGATATTAGAAGGGCAGATAGAAAGGTGATGTTAGTCATGGGCATGCTGATGCCAACTTCCGATTATCAAAACTTGATGAGATGCCTTCGGAGTAAAGAAGGTTCTGAAGAATAATGGTATACCAGTTGTATGATGTAAGTTTAACAGTCAGTATCATAGATTCAGAAGACTAGACCTACGTGATCACGGTAAGTACTAAACGGTTGTTCCCATACGTCACCCAGTGTAAATGTACACTTGGGGGAACTTCAAAGGCCACCCTAACAGTGATAGAAATAGCGAATTAGGTTTCATTTCAGCTGGAAAGGTAGACACATAAGATACAGAAATGTAATTGGTTATCTCAGTTGTTGCTACGGTGACTTTTAAAGTCACTCGCCTAAAACCTAAAATGTAGAGTGATATTAAAGGCCACCCCAGCAGCAATCGAAATAACCAATCAGACCTCTCTATTTTATGAAAATCAGCCCCTCCAGCTAAAATGAAGAAACCTAATTGGTTAATTCAATCATTGCCAGGGTGGCCTTTAAAGTCGCCCTTTTAGACAGCTGTAATTTTGAAAATTCTCAAAATTCTCTCAGTGGTTTCCAGATTTAGCACAGAAAGCTAAGTTTAGATACATTAATTTATTTCTAAATGTATTTTTGAGATTAACGGGGATTTTTGATTTAGAAGTAGTATTCATCATGGACTGACATCATCTCAAAAATACTTTACTCTATAGTGCTCATTAGTGACTTGTTTCCCGATGGATGTCAGGATGTTCTAATGAGAAGCCGTGACGTGTGGGGTCAACCAGTCGGAAGTGAAGTGGATGCTAACTGAAGACCTTGGGTAACAGTCGCGCTATGTCGTGAATTGACAGAAGTTGGAAATTGTGAACCACTGGAAACCGACCCAGTGGCTGAATGGATAACGCGTTCGACGTGAAACCTGAAGGCCCTGGGTTCGATCTCTAGCCGGGTTGTCGGTGCGTACTGCTGAGGAGTCCCATACTAGGACGGAACAGCAGTCCAGTGCTCCCAGATTTCCAATGACTCCCCAACTGATGTCAGTCCATGATGAATACTACGCCTTATTTCTAAATATTAACGGCGCAGTCTTATATCTGTCACGATAACCAACTGAATGGTCGAATTTTAATTAGCTAGTGTGGCTTCCACGTCATAGCAAAGAGAGGTTAGGCAAAGGATTGGACAAAAGTCTCGTCCTACTGGCTGAGACTTTTATCACAGCTGTCTCGTTGTCAGCTTAATATGTCCGTGTAGCGATCACTATCCTATGATTGGCCACTGCAGACATAGGTAACACTATTGATTTTTTGTTAGACCAATCAATACACTGATATGGAACCTGGTTCTCTACGGCAAATAAAGGTTAATCAAAACTGCAGGTGGGATTTGTTGGGATAATAGATTCAGGTATGGTGTTGTTAATTTGCTGTAAATAGTTACTTTTCTTTCATGACCTGTTTCCGCTCACAGAGGTATTTTTTGACGAATTAAGGTTGGTATCATAGATATTGTCATTTTTCCTCTCATTATCTTTCTTATTATTGAATTCCTTTATGTCATATTTGTTCTTCCCCCACTTCCAGTTTTCATTTATAAATCCTTTTTAATTTATGACCTATATCCTTATGGCTATTGTACAACCAGCCCACATAAGTTTATCATTCAGGGATTTATAAGTAAACGTCATTTTATGGGGAATTTCGTCAATAATGTGGGGAGCAAGCTGTAATTTGCTCAACTCCAGTGTAGCTCTCACAATATTCCATTCTGTTGTCAGTTGTGTTACGAAACTTTTACGATGAGCATGCCGACGCACCATTTGTACGTTATTCGATTCCGAATATCAAATTTGATCAAAGATATCCTTCAAATTTGTAGTCACGAAACACCCTGCTAAGAAATTGTGATTAGCTACTCAAAAGCCCGTATACTTATACTGGTTTTTGGTTTAAAAGCTTCCCATGTGAAATTTTTGAAAATGATCGAATCCACTAAATGCGAACTATAGGACGAAGCATTTGGTGAAATATGGGAATGTACACACAAAAACACCAACTATGTACTAATAGTTCTACATCAAACGGTAGTTGGATCGCTTCCTTTAAACCTGTGTACAACAATGCAATGAAGGGATGTTGTTTAAGATGCTAATTGTCAGTGGCAAGGAAACCGTTCATACATGGCCTGTTGATCGAAATGTCTAGCACTTATTTCGTGAAAATTAATCTGTGTAAACTATCATTATTCAAAGCCCATTTTGACTGACTGAATGTGGTAATTTCACAATAGAAAAGCATATTTCTGTCAGCGTTTCGTATGAATCTTGGTGATTTGCACGTATCTTCTTCGAAAACATTTAACCAAACTAGCTGTTATTTTGCTAGTTTATGCATTAATACCAAACTGTTTTCTTTCAGAATGGCTCTTTGGCTTCGACTGTCACTGCTTTTATTGTTTCTCGTGGTTGTTGTTTCATCACTCCCTACGTCACTACTAAAGCGAAGGTCTAGGGACAATGAATTGTGAGTTGGTTCTTTTATTCTTTAAAATTCATGTCCTATGTACTCTATTGATAGCAGTAATTACATGGTAGGGAAATTTATGGTTAGTATCAATTCATGTATCATCTACACATAAATTAGCTTGTAATTATTTTGATTTCGGGAGTTATTCAGTTAAATCTCATCTGTCACAAGTTCATACTTTCTGACACATTTTGGTATTAGCTATTGGCTACTGTTACACTCTGAAAATTAGGATACGTAGTTCAGTTTTTGGCACAACTTTCAACTGATGGATTACGGGTTGGAACCTCTCCACCTGTCGAAGCTGGAGCAGCCAGGTAGTATCTCTGGCTTTTTAGATTGAATTTTCTTCCGAACTGGGGGTTTTGACTATCAAACGTTTCACTGTCACGCTAGATATCGCCATTACTGTATAAAAGAAAACTGTCTAGTTCAACTGCTGTGCACCATCTGAAATCTAAAACAACCTTCTCAGATAAAGTAAAGTTTAAGGATTAGCATGCATGCCTCGTTCAGATTCAGACTAAAGCGTGATCATAGGCCTGTTGAACTTTTGTCTAAAGTGTTGCGCCCAACGTTCCAGCCAATTGTTTTTAATTGTTATCGTAGTCCAACCCTTTCCGATGACAGTCTCGCTAATTATCGCTTTGTGCTATTCTCCATAGTAAGCCTGACTGTCAAGTATGTATAACTTGTACCAATGTCTGCTCTGTCTCTTTCACTTTCACCATTCATCACTCTTAATAGTCATTGTGAAGACTTAGTCAATTTACGTTTAATTTGTTTTCGCATCTGATAACGATTGGAGCTAACTAGAATGAGCCTTGTTGCTCAAGACAGAAAGACAAAATTAACCTAACATTACTGCGTAACAGTTCAAGTTTCTACACCTAGCATTAGCACATCAAGCTATAATGCGCCAACGTGAACAATAAAGAAATAGGAAAGATTATGTTCAGTGATAGAAAACTAACAAAAAAGAGGAAGGAGAGGATGTTGAAATCCAGTATGAATATGAATATATGAATATGAAGATCAAGATAATGTTTGGATGCATCTACGCCACTGAGATCGATTCTGGGGAATAACACCTAGAGTTTCTGTCTTCATACAGATCCTGACGGGGACGTCTTCATTTTCGTGCATGGATCAAAGTAAGTTAAAAGCTTCAAGGAATGATGTCATATTTTAGTCTGACGACCTCTAACCTTTTTACAGCTTAGGCCTTCAGCTAACATTGTGCGACGAGGTGAACGGTAACTAGGCCTGTATAGCATGTCACAGCCACCTGAGTTGATGAAGGTTCAAAACCTTATCAACTGACTTTCCTTTCTCTCCTAAAACACTACACTTGGCTTCTACATTACTGACTTAACGAGTGCACGGCCTATGCTACGAAGGCGACGGGGGTCGAACACCTGAAGTCTTCTCACCTCCTCTACCTTTAATGGTCGTGTTTCACAGACATACAGTGGAACAAAGCTAACTGCAGTGTAGTGCATTCGACCCTGAGTAGGCAATCGGATATCATGGTGGTACCATGAATGAGGTAAGTTGGCGAAATCCAGTTGAGCCTTTCGTATGTATGCAAAGCTTTCATTGGTCACTGACCCACCAGGGTTGGTGTGACTTCCCAGGTAAGTGGAGTGGTCAATACGCCCAACCAACTCACTATCTGTTGCCAGGTAGTGCACCAGCTCAGACCAGTTCTGGTGCAGGATTTCGCATTTGGGTGGTGAGAAGTACATCGAAAACACTTTCAACTTGCCACTCAATGCGCCCAGAAGACTGAATTTTGTTAGCCTATTCATGTAAGGCAACTATGTCATCTACATGCACCAAATATACTAAGGATTCTTCCATGACAATGTTGACCTGTGAATTTAGACGAGGGAGAGACCTGTATGTGTAAGTCTATGATTAAGTTGGATGAGAATTCCGAGAGCAAATTTCTATGATGGATGCCACTCAACGTAGACAACTAACTATAAACTATGAGACTCCGGTATTGAAATGCAGAGCCTAAGGAAGATAGTGATGTGCTCGCCTGGTATCTCTTACAGTGAGAGACACTACCATGAATGTCCTCAGTCGATGGAGTCTAATGCCGTCTTCAGGTCGAGGTGTACAGCTCATGTGAAACACCGGTAGTTTTATTTTGTTGCAGAAGCTGGCGAAGCATGGATATCAGGTTGATGCACGCATAACCATGTCTGAAACCTACCTGGATTTTTGTATTTACCGCTCTTGAGCTTGACTCAGGTGTTAAGTGAATATGTGTCTTTGGATCTTAGACCCTATGTTGATGAGACAGGAATTCTTCACTTTTCGCAGTGATTAAGGACAGTGATATGAGATCATATCTGGTTCCCACACGCTACCTAACACTTTAGTTAAGCTGACCAGTCATCCTCAACCACCATCCTTAAATACTTTGGATACTAGTTCATACGACTTAGCTGCTCGTTCTCGCTTCAGCTTGCTTACAGCCTTCTCGACTGCCTTAAGGGTTAGAGGGCATGTCGCAGCGTTTCATTCAGGATGCGACCGGATAGCGGAATGCGTAGTAGTAACTGTATTCGAGTTCTACTATTTTTCGAGATGTTCCGCCCATCGATGCAATTGTCTTCTCTGGTATTAAATGACAAATTCATGCTTCTTCACTATATTCTTAGTAACCATTGACTTTTTCTCCTTAGTCTGCTTGATACGTTTAAATAGGTGTACTGTTACCTATCGTAGCCGCCATGTCCATGTTTTTAGTATTGGGTACTCATTGCTGCCCATGGTCATTTTATAGACTCTTTGTTAGTTTATCTTTGAGTCGCTTTCGCTACTCATCGTGCTCGGAGCATGCAGGGATGTGTCCGCATATACCTGATATCTCGGAAGAAGCTAGTGAGATCCGGTATCTCTATCTAACTGCTTTCTGAGAGTGAGCTACGATCTTCTTCTTTAACAGCAGGTTGAGGGTAGTGCCAAGCTTCTCCTAGATGGATGGTGTTTGTCTATTCCTATGACTATCTAGCCAGTTCTTTGCAAAAAGCAACCTAAGTATTCTCATCTCACACCCGCACTGGTCTTGGTTTTGTAGTTCTCTTGCTACCATTTTGGCACAGACATAAACGTGCTGGAACCAATGCTTGACCATTATCCCAAACACTTGCCCCAAAAGGAGCTGAATTTTTCCTCCAACCCTCTCCGTTGAGTTCGGATAAGGCTGCGGAAATGCGCTGACTTTTGTTGACTTTTCGATGCACGTTATCTGTTTTTCCAACTACTATTTTTAAAACACTGAATGCTCCAAGTTTCTAGTGGTGGTTTGGCGTTAACTGAACTTTGGAGAAGACCAAAGCATCATCATCCTCATTTTTAACCACAAATCTTCCATTTCTTCAAGTGTCATCTAAATCAGGATTACTACCGCGTCTAGATAAATGCCTTGCTACCTATTGCCTAAATACATACTTAGTGTTTTCTCCTTCAAGCGGAGTATACACAGACCTCTTGTTTTCTGCGTCCACTAAGGGTCAAATGGACAGTTGTGTGTGTAATAAAGTTTGGGGCATTCAGGGGCGAGCGGCAACCCTTCACGACTCCTCTCCAACAGTGGTTCATGGCTGTATTATCTGTGTGCATCTTCTGTTAGCTTGATTGCAATGGAAACCAAGTGATGTAATGTCTCAAGTTTGAAGTTAGTACCAGCCAGAAACAATTTATCGGCAGAACAAAGTTGTAGGAGACGGTCGGCTTAGGATATAGTAAATGCTCCTAAGATTTCTTTCCGATTGGTTTGACTTCCATACTTGAGCCCTGAAGTTGTCGGGCAGTATGGCTGAATCTTAAACTCACGCAATTGAACTCACTGTTTTTTAGGATTTACGAGGATGACCAAAAGGTTGTGTTCTCAAGATGAATTATTCTTCGTTGTTATTACTAGGTTGGAAGATGTAAGTCTGTCTGCGTTCGGGAATTGGTCACTTCCGGGCATTATTTTACTGACAAAATACGTAATCGATAGTTCTTAGAAATATGGACTTTTAGTCATAGATTTCTCAATGGTTAATACATCATATATATATATATATATATATATATATATATATATATATATATATATATATATATATATAACAAGTAACGTGAAAAGAAAGTTAAAACAGATCGAGTTATCACAAGTCCTCGTATTTAGGGTCGTTTATATTATGAACATGAAGGTGATTTTCACAGTACTTATCGTTTCGTTCTTCAGATAATGGAATTAGTCACAGTTAAGCTTATGAGTTATTTGGACGTATTTAGGAAACTGAGAGGGGGGGGAGCAACAACAGCTAGTGAGGCTATAACGGAGAAGAGCGGGTCTGAGATTCACCCGCGGGGGAGACGACTAGAAAGATGAGCAGAACACTTCGAAGAACCTTTTAACTGGCCTCCAGCCACCATTGCGTTACCTGCAATCCAGTCGAATCCTGAATGGAACATTGAGATAAGCCCCCCCCCCCAACACTTGCAAAAGTCGAAAAAGCTGTAGATAACTTGAAACGAGGAAGGGCAGCAGTACCAGACGGACTAACTCCTGAGGTATACAAGGATGGTGGTAGAGTGCTCTAAGTCAGGCTAACAGAAGTGTCAACTGGTATATGGGAATTAAATACGATCCCTCTGACTGATCTGAATCACTGGTTATTCCAGTCTTCAAGAAAAGCGAGAAGTCCTCTTGCGATGACCACAGAGGAATCAGTCTGACGAACACAGTGTCTAAAATTCTAGGTTCTGTAATCCTTCGAGGCCTGAGTGGATCTCGGTGGACAACAAGCTTGAGAAAACTAGGTAGGCTTTAGATCCGGCCGTGGGTGTATTGACCAAATATTCAGACTGTGCCAGGTTCTGGAACACAGGCACACTTACCGACGCCTGGAAATAGCTATATTTCTCGACCTGAAGGCGGCATTCGACTCTTATGGCAATGTCTCCTACTGAAAGGCGTGCCGAGTAAGTACATCACCTTACTGAAGGCTTTCTACTCGAACACTTGTGGGCGTGTTAGAGCCTATGGTGAGATATTCGGGGAGCTGTACTCGTCGAGCGGTGTCCGTTAAGGATTCTCGCTGACTCCATTCTTATTCAATTTTATCATAGATATTCTTATGGAGGTCTCCCCCTCGTCACCTGACTACACAACAGTTGGCCTAATCGCCGGAGAATTTTCATCAGACCTCGAATACGCAGATGATATAGTCCTGTTAGGTGAAAACACTGACAAGATGCAGAGTTTTCTGGACACTTTGAGTTGCAATTTGAGAATGTTTGGGATGCGTTTTACACCACCCAAATGAAAATTGTTGCTCCAGGATTGGTCTTCAATGGTGCCACGGCTAACAGTAGAGAGTGTAGTGGTTGGGTATGTTGATCCTTTCACCTACATGGGTAGCCGGATCAGCCTTAGTGGCTCGGTGCCCGTTAAAATTTCTGCACGGATACGAAAGGCTCGGCTGGTTTTTGCCAACTTACGTCACCTGTCTCGCCGCCATGATGTCCGTTTGTTTATTAAGGGTCGCATGTACTTCACAGCAGTTCGGTCTGTTCTACTATATATGGCTGCGAAACATGGGGATTGAAGCTGGAAGAAATGAGAAGGCTTCAAGTGTTTGACCACCGTTGACTTCATAGTATAAGCCGTATTTTGTGGTGTCACCACGTGAGTAACGTAGAAGTCAGGTGTAGGTGTAGAGTTTTAGGGAGAAGAGGTAAGTTAGTTGACAAGTTTATGAACCTTCATGGACTGAGACGGTTGGGACACGTGTTGCGTATGTCTAGTCACGGATTGCCTTGTCACACAATGTTGGGGGAAGTAGGTCCAGTCTGGAAAAATGCCCGAGGTTGCCGGACTAAAACATGGCATGAATGTATGAAGTGTTAGACTGTTGGTTTGATCCATGTGGGAGGATGCATACTAGGTGATTGGGGTCTGTGGGACAATAGGAATCAGTGGTTGGAGACTGACTGTTGGTGATATGGCCTAGAACCGATGTGAGTGTCGCAGATGTATACACACATTATCTTCATCTAGACGACGTTATACGGAATCTCACCATTTTCTCATTTTTGCTTTCTCTCTTTTCGTACTTTATATTCCTTTTGACTGAGCTTTCTTTTCTTTATCTCCCACTTCATTGGCTTTTCACTTGATGTACTAATGTGAGCTGTGGCAACTCAGACCGTTACGTAGTAATGCCTGGTCCTATGTTGGTGGATGATGATGAAACTTCTGAGGTATTAATTGTGTGCCCAATAAGTTTGTTCATAAGGCTATTTTGATCACATGGCGTTCATAATGTAAGGTAATTTTCTCTGTTTTGTTTAGCTATTTCACACTTCGTTTAATTATAACTTAGCTTCATATGGAGATGTGGCTCCATTGGGTTAGGAACTCATCTTTCAGAAAATGGGTCCTGGGCTGGAAGGAGTATCGCTTTAAATACTTCTACCGAGGTAACTGAGTGTTATCATAAATGCTTGCACAAGTCTGACTCATAGTCAGTCCAGTACATAAACCTGTAGCTGGTAGCGTAATGTGTACATTACGCAACACTGCTGCGCCTTTGAATAGAAGGGTACATTTTTGATTGTAATCTGCGCAGGTGCATACTCTGTCGCAGTAGATTTTCATATGCTAAGGGCGAACATAACCAGATTTGTTTCCATTACTATATGACCTCTCCGCATAATCTATACTTTCGTGAACTTTCTCAGTAAAGTGTTGTGAAGCGTGATAAGTTGAATGGATGCACTGTGTGTGTTGTGTTTTGCTATCTACCTGTTTTCTTACACTTACTTACGTTCACTTATAACAGTGTTTTTTAGCGTTTTCTCGGCTTTGTAGTGAACCAACTGTATAGGTCGAAAACAAGTTCTAAATAAGCAGGCTAAATCACTTGGTAGCGTTATAGATCTTCACTAAGACTTTAAGGAAAGTTATTTGGCCTTTCCCATTTTGTTAGCTATCTTTTTCAAACAAAGTGCTGACATTTTCCACTATCATAGTCCACTTTATTTATCTTGGTTGTCTAGGTTTGATGGCTCAGACCAACTAACAGATGATGAAGGGACTCAGTCTCGTGGGCGCCATTTTGGAAAAAAATCTGGATCTAAGAAAAGTTAGTTTTTGTTTAACAGTGTGACCTTTCTAGCGTTTATTGTATATTAGAAATAAGCATACTAACTCACCTACTAACCATTTCATATAACAATGTTGGCTACAGTGGGATTCTAACGCCTTCGCCTTAATGATAGGATAACTGTGAGAATACCTAGTATTGAGTTGTAACCACAGATTGTTGTTTATGTTTTTCATTTCGTCGTAGACCCACCTTCCTATGCTGTCATGTTGATGATGAGAACTAAGAGCTTGGGAAAAAAACGCTTTAGATTCCATTTCAGTTAGTATATTGTGTGTAGTGCATAGTGAAACAGTATTATTTACTAGATTACTTTTCGGATACAATTTATTGTCCATAGTTATATCAAGGTAATTCCATAAATTTGAGACAGTTTTTGTGCTTCTCATTTACTCTCCCTCTATATAATTTAGGTAGTAAAATTTTCAAGTAACTCTAAAAATCATTCTAGCAGCAGCTGGAATAGTCTGTTAGGTTCCTTTACTTCGGTCGGAAGGGTAAATTTTCATAGATTACAGAAGTCTAGTTAGTTATTTCATTTATTGCCTTTCGGGTCGCTGGAAGTTTCTAAATGTCTGGAACGATGTTATAAGCCTTTCCTGTTGCATGTATTTGGTATTGATTCAATAAACAAGGATTCGGTTAACAATCTCTCCCTCCACCTTGACACTCTTAGATTTTAAAGCTGTCACTCTGTCACATGCTATTGTGTGTTTGTGTTATTCCATGCATATGTTCAACCGTGCTCTTTTCTGAAATTCTTATTTTACTGAGATCTAACAGTCTTAATCTCACCAAACTTTTGTTCTTCTAACTAAAGTACCAGCCAAGGAGATCATGCTAGGAGTACAACTATGACTAACTTTTAAAGTATTTCAGTTTCAGAATAAAATATAAAAACGAAGAGAAGGAGTTACCATGGGATCACCAATATACCTTGCCACCACAGTAGATGGTTGAGAATTAGTAGCCCTCGAAACAATATGTTCTGCTCCAAAAATATGGTTTCAGTATGTGGATGATACACTTACAGTATTTAAACCGGAGCACATGGACAGTTTCTATACACATATAAGTCCAGTAATGAATACAGTCCAATTTACTTATGAATTAGAAAGTTGTGAAGGATGGTTAGCAATGTTATATTGCAGAATATGACGAAAACAAGATGCGAGTTTAGTATTAGTTTTGGTGGGACATTTTGGTTCTCGAATCGTTACTTAAACTTCAAAACATCTCACCCTATATCAGTTAAATTAGTCTGAGTGAAATGTCTAAGTAACAGCGCCAAGAAACTTAGTAGTGAGACAGAAGATCTAAGACGAGAAGACATTTACATTTAATGATACCTTACTCATCATTTATTAACCTCGTAATAATATGAAGAGAGAATTCAAAGCCTCTACTGTATTATCATACAACAGAAGATACTTCAGAGATATTGCATACTATTCCCAGGATTATAGTAACATTTAAACCTACAAACTCACTTAGATATAAGCTTTGTAGGTTAGGAAATTCTATTGATCTAATTAGGTAGAATAATTTAGTTTACCAAATCCCTTACAACGCTTGTGAAGTCAAGTACATACGTGAACGTAGTCTACCAGGGTCCAAGCACAAAACCTGGTTTAATCAAGATTGGTGGATCCCTAATAAGATAAGAAATCTAGATAAAAGCTCAGCTCAAGTTATGGATCCAATTACACACAGTCACATAATAGGGTGGGGCAATAGGAATGAATCAGCATCCATTTCGGGTATACGGGAAATCCTATTACCTCTGTCATGAAGAAGGTAAGGAAATTAAAACTATGGAAACTACATCTCAAGTTGTGGAGTTGTCTTCTTATGACTATGGGCAATAATTTATATCTGAAAGGTAGTCCAGCAAATAATACTGTTTCAATGTGTGATACATCTAACACATCAATTGAAATGGAATCGCATTCTACCCTAGTGTCCAGGTTTTACTGTCATCAAACACTTTAGGTTGTGAATTCTATTTAATATCAAAATATGCCCATTCATTCATTGATAGGAAGTGATAATGGTCATTATTGCCTTAGTGTCATTAATTAACTGGCTTATATTCTCTTGCATTTTAGTACTTTTTAAGGCTTCAAAGACGAATATTAGAAGGATAGGTTGAACTAGACTGGATGCAGCCTTTGCAGTCACTATAATCTACTTTGCTTTTCAGTTATCAACATCGGCGACTAAAATCTGTAAAGTCTTACAAGTTACCTGTTGAGATTAGTGTTTAGCACCTAGACACATGCCGGTTGATCATTGGTTTGCTTCCCACAACTGCCATAGGCATCATGCTATGGTCTTTTAAGCTCTTTTGTGAAGCATACTTTGTTTCACTTTTATAGGTATTTTCAATCATCAATTGTGATCAGACAGAGAACTATTGAAGATTAATGAGCACTCAGCACTCGCTGAACTGCAAAGTACTTATCATAAAAGTTGATAGTCGTGGACTCAACCCCCTATGGGATTATTCTGGATAAGGTTGACGAGTACCAAACTGAAACGAAACAGGTGTCCAGTGATCCTTGTCTTTCATTTTTTTCTCTAAGCAGATATTGACTCATAATGAAAATTACTCTGAAATAAATAGATTCATCAATCTATTCAAGTGAAAATTTCCGATGTCATCATGTAAAATGAAGAATTTTAGAAAATCCTGTTTTTCTTAAACTAATTACAATATATACTTTTGCTTTCCTTCCTATTGTACAGTACGTACTCGTTTTTTTTTTCATTTATGAAGTGAGTTCATTTCAATGTTGAGCAATTATATAATCACGATGAGTATTGTTTCACACTGGTATTAAGCACTGACCATATGATCACCAATGTATGTCCTTTAATACCGTGGTGTAATGCATATTTGTTGATTAGCGTGTATGCGTAGATCAATATTTGTTTAAAGGCTATCACCGTGATGATATTGGGTAATACTAATCACACAAGTTTGACAGAATTAATTGATATCTGCCTCAGCATATTTCCAATTCAACGGCGAACTCCACAAATAGACAAAAAGATCATCAATGGGTTCGCCTATTATTATTATTATTGTATTATTTATCCTTTAGGTTCCTAGTGGAACTTAGGGCTTCAGTAGCACGTCGCCATTTCACTCTTCTCTGCAGTCTTTTGAACCTCGCTCCACGACTGCTCAGAAGCTTTCATTTCTTCACGATCTCCTCCATGACACTCTTGGACTCCCAACTCGTCGTTTCCCTTTTGGGTTCCACTCGACGGCCTGGCCTGACGCGTGATGTCTTCAAACCGTCTTCTCAGTATATACTCAATCCATCTCAACTTTTTTCTTCATATTTATTGGGCTATGGGTTTTTGATTGGTTCGTTGGCAGTCAGTTCCTTGTTGCTGATACTTATTGTTCTGGCCGTCTGATCTCCATCCTCTACCGAGTGAGCGTAGGCGGCAACTGTTGATGTATACCTGTAGATTTTTGAAAATGCTTTCCGTAACGCGCCAAGTTTTTGAACCATATAGAAGCACTGACTTGACTGACATTAGTGTTGAAAATCCGGATGTTGTTCACGCTTTATGCTGAGTGGAGTGCAGTAGATTAGATCTCCACAGTGATTCCAGGTTAAAGCAGGAAGGTGTGTCTTGCTATCTTTCCGATCCTGGCTGGCTTTGTCATCCTCATCTGTGCCTGTGCCGCCTGTAGTTGAACGATGCTGCCTTGTCTTGATAGGTGAGAGAGACAACTTCCTTTTGATGGTGATTGGTGCTTGTTGTTGTTGGTTGGGTGTCTTCATCAGCTCTGTCTTCTCTACGTTCACTTGAAGTCTCGTCTTTGTTGCCCTGCCTCTTCTTCCAACTTGTTAGTTCGCCTATATCAGGGCTAATTGCAGAGGCGGTTATGCAATGATTCGAAACTGTAGTATTACTCTTGATCAAAGAAAAACTTTGGATTGGATATGTAAATGGCACTTTTGTTATCATCATAAGAAATGAACTGGAAAACAGATTAATCAATAACGTTTTCGACGACATCAAATTCACAATTGAAGAGGAATCTAACATCACCACAACAGAGTTAGGGAAACTAGAAATTGAAGTATCCAGAAAACCAACTCGTACGGATCAGATCCCCAACTACAGTAGCAACAGTTCAACACCACACAATCATGATACATCTTCAACACATATAAACAATTGTGCACATGAATTTGACTGAGGAAATGTGGAAATCGTGGATATAGGAAATGCAGAGGATGTCAGAGAGTTTTTAGAAGTTGGATTCAGGTCAGTCAAAGATCAACAGGCATTGACATTGACCCAATGTATCAACCAATAAGAAGCCCAAGAAACAAAAGGTCATAGTTCACGTTGGCAGGATAACCAGTCGAAATACGTATGGAGACAATGACAGGATTTTAGCAGAGACAACCAATCACATTCAAAGTTATCAGGATAAGCTGTTCATGGAAAGAATCCCATAGGCCATTTCTTTCTGAAGCCTGTGCTGCTGCTGATGTAATCTAGAATGACAATGAAAGCTTCATGATTAAACTAGCCAGCTCAGAGAACGTAGCACCATCAAAAGCATTCTACTAAGCTATAAATATTCTCCATCATACTAGTTGCAGTCTATGATGAATGATATGAGTTTGAGAAACAACTCAATAGTTTTGGTGTAACATTTTCACCGAAGGATATAAATTTTAGTCGGGTATTTGGACGGAGACAGGACACCTTACATCACCATCAAACTGTTAAATTGTCTTTGTTGGGTTGGAGTATACCGTTAGTGTTTCGTTTAGCTATTTGCCTTTCTTTTCACTGTGATTTCGGTGTTTTTCATTTATCTGAGTGTCTAATTGTCTTTCTGATTAAATATGACTGGGATAACAGTTTTTTAAATGTTCACATGTCTATGTCTAAATGCACTAAAGTAATTCTTCTTCTCGAATAGTAATGATCATAATAATAACAACAAAACCGCCATTTGTAAAAATGAGCTAACCGAAGCCTATTTTTATGCGATACGCTATTTCGATTCTGAGTTTATCTTTTTGAAAAAATATATATATTACCCTTATTTTGTTTACCGAGTAGATGAATCAGCAGTCAATGAAAAACGTTCGCAAAGACGACGTAGGAAGCATGTAAGTTTTTTTCTCCAAAACTTTCATGTGATCCATCCCCTGCTTAAACTTACCCCTTCTCTGTATTACTTTTTATAGGTCTATGTGATATGTTTTATCGACATTGTTGACTTATCTTTTTCTCTGCCTTCTCAAGTGAAAGAAACTGATTACGCCAGGCAGTTAAACGTTAGGAATGTAAATCATCATATTTCCATACAGATGTTGACAATCGAATCATTGTAGTAGTTCGTATTAACTAGCAGACATCACTTTATGATGATGCTACGAACACACAAGTGATATCAATCAAAGACTAGTATCGGAATATATCCACACATTGCTTTCATGTTGACCGTCATATATCGTTATTACTTCATCCTCTCCTGTTTTTCTTCCTTCTCCTTTCAGCTTATGACTTTACACAACTTTTCATCACACTGCTTCCCGATTTATTTATCCTTCGTCTTTTTTGCCTTGTAACTTTATGTACTGGTATGAGTTGTGGTAACTTAAACCGTTACACCGTAATGCCAGATCGTTCGATATTGATTTTGTCCGTTTGTGGAGTCAAGCACGCCGCTATTACTTATTCACTTTCTTCCGCAGATACATTAAGAAGAAGCAACTTTCCATGGTATGGATAGCCGAGAAGTGTCAACCACTGTCACAATTCTGTCAACACTCAGGTTCCTTCTAGATCGGTCTATTTTACATTGAGCGATGGTCTGCTCATGAACTTCATCATAAAAACCTGAAGTGATCCATCAACTATGTACATGGACACCATTTTGATCATACATGGGAAATTTGTCTCACCATGTGGAAGGGAAATAATCGAAATGGACTCATCAGTCATGAGGATACATGTGCAGGATTAGGTCAGCTTGAATTGTAATAAGGGCTAATCATGCTGCAACTCCATATCTAGCACATTAAGGATATTTTCTGGTGCTCCGGATTGATGCATTGGTTTATAAGTGTGTGTATGGGGGTGAAGGGTTATTGTGTAGGAATGAAGATAGACCTTGAGCCACCCAGGTACAGTTCTTCTGTCTGTGACCCCACTTAGAATTATTTTCAACCTGCTTTAATTGTCTGTGGTGCATATGAATTATTTTCCTCATTATTCAGTGTTATTAAGTGCTTGTTTTTACATCAGTTCACAGTTTTGTTATGAACAACCTCAGTGCTCAGCGTTTGTTGGCGTTAGATTGCAAGAAAGCTTAGAATAATCAGACCAAGGCATTCCAATAGTCCATGAAATCGCTGACTACCGGTCTTAGCTACATTTAAGCTGTGCGCGTGTGTGGGGAGGGAATCCTCGAAATGTTTAATGATCAACGTGCTATGAGACTCTTGGTGATATGGATCAAAATTAATTACACTGGCGTGGATCTATGTATACACTATTTTTCATCTTTGAAGTTTTGAACGCATTAGTAACCTTCTTCAATGTATTCCCTCTCCTCTTACCAAGCACGCAATATTGACGTCGGGCGAAGGGTACTAGGCACATGCCGAGCCACCGTCTACCTTGACGTGCAATGCTAAGGGAAGTTGAACTAGGTTGGAAGAAGGCTGAGGATTACCAGACTAAGACATGGCACCAGTGCATAAAGTCTCTGACTCTTGGTCTTAGAAGTACGGGGAGTTGCAGACTGCCTGTTGCTTAGTCTTCGAGATGGTAGGAATCAGTGTTTGAGGACTCTTTGCAATATGGCTGAAAATTGGGCACAATGGCGCACATGTATTCACTCTTTGGTGTTTTCTAAAGCTTGGGTGTTTTTTTACTTAATGTTTAAATTCCGTTCCCCCCCCGCATACATATTTGATATTAGTCTTTTCTATCCACTTTTTCATTGTATGCTACTGTGAAGTGTGGCAGATTGAACCAATGCACTTATGTGCGAGGTTCTACATTGATTTTATCTATCTCTCTGACTTGAGATGATGGAAAAGATTTGTAGCTCAGGATGAGGATAACGGTGGTTTGGTGTTCTCTAAACTTCGATATTTTATCGTTAACGTTTCGTCACTACACTCAGAGACATCTTCAGCACTAACTTCATAAAAAAGTGAAGCATATTCGATTCTTACACAAATATTTAGATAGTTCTTTTATTGCCCCTGAATGTTGTTCAGTTGTAAGTTGGGGAAGAGATTTTTTTACTACAACTTGACCTCTTCGACCTTAAATTCCCTTCAATCATGTCATTAGATATTTTTTTGTTCGAGTGAAATTGTGCTGTTTGTTGCTATCAAACTGTGCATCATTATTGGTTTGCATAGTCAATTTGCTCTTGGTTGATGGATGACTGTTTTCTTCCTAAGTAGATTGTAGATTGTGTCTATATCTATATGTTTGTTGGTTGACATTTCGTTTGAATGCCATAGTTCTAGAAATTTTCTTTTAGCTTCGGAACCTGTTCTTCGGAGGATCTCCACATTCTTTCAGTCAAATTTGTGATTGTCTGCATGCATTGAAACCAAGGAGACCGCATGATATCGCTTTACTGCTAGTTGGCGTTCGTGAATTCTTTGAGCAATCTGATGGTCAACATAATGCTGTGAACAACTTTTGCAGTTGATTTTGTAGATTATATTTCTCCTGTTTTCTTTTAGAAATGGGTCCGTTGGTTTGTGTGCTACTCTGATTTCGAAAGGATGAAGTAATCAGTTGACTGTTTCTGAGATATCTTTGATGTCGGGTAGTGTAATGTACCTATTGATTTTGAGTTAGTTGTCCGGTCTTCTGTCCTACTGATAAACACTTTTCGATAAACTTGGGTGGATAATCATTGGCTTTGAACACTTTTTACAGGTATTTTTCTTTGGCTTTCTATAATGCTTCAGTGCTGCAATGTGTTTTGGCTCTTGCGAATAATGTTTGTACACAACATTCCTTATCGACTGTAGGATGATTGCTGTTGTAGTTCAATATTTGGTGTGTGTGTGCGTATAGTTTTCTTGTACACTTGAGTTTGTAAAGTGTCATCATTTGTTCTGGTGACAAAGACATCTAAGAATGTAATTTTTTCATTGAATTCCTCCTCCTTTGTAATGTGAATTCTTTCAAATATTTGGTTGATTAGTTTGAACGTGTTTTCTGTTTCATTCTCTTGAGAGTTATGAATGTGCCGTCGACGTATCAAATTGAAAGTTTTGGCTTGATGAGAGGGATGACTATTGATTCCAGTAGCTGCATCATAGCTTCGGCAATCAATCCTTATATTGGCGATCTAATGGGTGTCCCTTCTGTTTGTTTGTAAATCTTCCCTTTGAATTGCAAATAGGTAGTGAGACAACTCAATCAATCCCACTAGGTTTGGAACCGTGATCTTCGTAAAGTCAGACATAACGCGGTCTCCTTGGTTTCAATGCATGCAGACAATCACAAATTTGACTGAAAGAATGTGGAGATCCTCCGAAGAACAGGTTCCGAAGCTAAAAGAAAATTTCTAGAACTATGGCATTCAAACGAAATGTCAACCAACAAACATATAGATATAGACACAATCTACAATCTACTTAGGAAGAAAACAGTCATCCATCAACCAAGAGCAAATTGACTATGCAAACCAATAATGATGCACAGTTTGATAGCAACAAACAGCACAATTTCACTCGAACAAAAAAATATCTAATGACATGATTGAAGGGAATTTAAGGTCGAAGAGGTCAAGTTGTAGTAAAAAAATCTCTTCCCCAACTTACAACTGGACAACATTCAGGGGCAATAAAAGAACTATCTAAATATTTGTGTAAGAATCGAATATGCTTCACTTTTTTATGAAGTTAGTGCTGAAGATGTCTCTGAGTGTAGTGACGAAACGTTAACGATAAAATATCGAAGTTTAGAGAACACCAAACCATCGACATCCCTCTGTCTATCTCTCCTCACATACACTTTGTTTTACATCATTATCCTACTTATTCTATCCACTTTATTTGCTTTTGTGGAGTTAAACAACTTTAACTGATTTATTTCTTCTTATGATTTTGTACTGACGTGTTTTTATCCTTTCTATTTGTTGTTATGAATTAACTGTTGTTAGTTTTTTTCTGTTCTACACTTTCAGAACCGACAATGTGAAGTGACTGGCGACTGTCCTGAAGGTAAAAATAATTATTGACTTGATTGTATTGTTTTCTGACCATCCACTTAAACTACAAATATTCTCCACTATTTTAGAATTATTGACTAGTAGAAAAGTTTTATATTCAATAATTGAGTTTACTTGGGTGGAAATTTATCATTTAAACTTCTGTTATACAACAGCTATCCACTTTTTTCCCCATAGATTTATGCATTTCTGACTTTCCTACTTGATGTATATTCCTGTCTGCGACTATTTGCAGGCTTATTATTTGACTAGGTAAACAGATACGTATGCATCGGGATCGGTTAATGGTTTTGTATGTATAAAAAAGTCCTTATCTTTTCAACTGTCGTACTAATTATTGAGCACAATAATATCATTGGATTAAATGTGTATTTTATCAGAGAATTATGATAAATTACAATTCTACAGTATATATTAGATTGTTCAGTTTTGAGATAATAATTTATCCACTCCAGTTTCAAAGACTACTAGCATTAATTCGAATAGCCACGAATAAAATTAATATTTCAATTAGTGGTTTATATTGAGTTGATGGTTCGAAGTAGCCTTCATGGTGGATTGATATCACTTGAACAACCATCGAAAACTTAGGGAGTGCTGGACAGTTACTTCGTCTTTGTGTGGAACTTTTTCAGCAGTACGCACGCATGACACCACGAGAAATCGAGGAAAGCGCCATCAGGTTTCAAGGTCAGTGAGGTACTATTCAGACACATTGGGTTGGGATCCAGCATTCCCTGGTGTTAAGTCATGTATACGCACTGTGGAAGAGTCCCGTAGTAAGACAAGTTAGCTGTCCAGTGCCTTCAAGTTTTCGATAGGCCCTCAACTGGTGCCAACCCGTCATTAAAACTACTTTAAAAGGATTATTATTTCTTTGTGCTTAGTGCCTCTTAAACACTGTTTTCCTCCTAATTGGTGATTACTCGAGTAGCTGGTGGATATTGTTGTCGCTATGACTGAACTTTACAGTTAACTTGCGAAGTCGTAGATGGTGATATGACTCAGTAAACAACGTACGGAAAGACTAACGAAATCAATCTGATGCCTCACACAAAAGTGTATTGGTTCAGTTTGTCACACTTCACAGCAGCATACAAGAGAACATGTGAGTAAAAGAGAGTGATATCAAACAAGATAAAAGTGTATAGACGGAAAGACAATTTGAAAGATAAGGGTAAGTGGAAATGTTTAAAATTCCAGAGACTTCAGAGAATGCGTACACTTGGGCCATTTTGGACCGATTTTCAACCATTTCGCTAAGAGTCTCGAGCCTAAGCTGTGGTCAGATCATTACGATCTCTTCATATCTACATTCAAGGGTTATGTATCGCAGTTGTATGACGGGACAGGACGAATTGCAGCGCAATATCTTCATCTTTTAATAGGTGGTCGAATATCTACCAGACTTCATAGATGGCGCAAACTGACAGATGCCAAGTAGGCCTTTTGAATCTGAGCTGAGATTTCGTGAACAACTAACAGCTATTTGAACTGACGCAATTCCTCAAGTGAAGCGGCCGACGAATTCAACCACTTCTCACTCCCTAGCCCTAAAATAAAAATTGATGGGGACCAGTCTTGAAATGTCACCTTACTTTGACTGGTGTGGGACGCATGCTAAATGTACTCACATTTCTGCTGAAGGAGTTCAGAAGATCCTGTATTTTGTCAGCGTCTTTCACTAAAAGGATAGTGTCATCTGTGTACTCAAGGTCAACCAGATGGCCCCCGGGAAGTCGATCCCCAAAGTCGAATCGAATACCGAAATGCACTCAGCAACCTTGTACACGTTTCTGCGGTAAACAGTAAGCCATATCTACTGTGTAAGGGCTAATGATACTACCTGACTGGCCGAACCTCGGTAAATGAAGCAATGGTGGAGCTTGTAACCGACTGGTTAAAAGTCAACTGCCTAAACCAAAGAGCCGCAGCTCCCTGTAATATTTGAGATACTTTGGGTTATGTCTATAAGAACTTACCTATGGGTATATGTATTAGGTGATGAGAAGATTCCGAGCAAACTGAAGTCGGTGAAGCAGGACTCAAAAGTTGTGCCAGTCATTTGAAGATTGAGTACCTACTTAGATTAGCTGTAAAGGCTTTAGATTCCTTAGTCGATAAATAATGATGAAAATGCTTGTGAGTAATGTATGAATCGCATATTAGATTTCTTCATTTGATGGAATGGCACACAGTTATTTACTGTAGAAAGTTTGGAGTCCCGTTCCTTGTCTATAGATATCATACTCAAGGTTATCGTACAAATTTTAACATCTGGCTTTTTATATTTCTGTCATTTGTCATTCTTTGGTTACTACGGTAACCAAGTTCTCCATACATCTGGAATCCGTGTTATGGGATTTCTAATGCAGAGATTTAGTAATCAGCCTGATCATAAGCAATGAATTGTACTCAAAATAGCATCCAGTTGTCAATATTGTATCGCTTTATACTATGTCTAATGATTAAAGATCTATTATGGGGTTCAATTCTATTAAAGTTACTAAGTTCTATTCTTAATCAGTAGATGACTTGTTTATTTACAGTATTAGTTAGTTTTATAATTTGAGACTTCTACACATTATAGGGAGGTGGGGTCGTTGTCCTCTAAAATTCAACTGACGTGGACGTTTAAATGAAGTCAATATTCGAAATTTGGTTTCCACCAAAACTGAATATTAGTCCAACAGTTATTTCGTTACAGTTTCACACTTCTTAAGAATGAACTGTTAAGACTGTTGATGAGAAACTAAGAATCCTGAGTAGTGCTGGCTTCTATAGACTGATAGTTAAATACAAGAAATCGGAAGATAGTTCACTAAACATCATAAATTGAAGTTGAAACAAGAATCATTCAGGTGATGAAAGAAACCTTCCAGGAAATCTACGGATTCTATGTGCACGGGAGTGTATTTCGATGATTAGCGCATCTAACTGGCAAAGAATGGGCGATGATTTTTTGAGCGACAACTCATTTCTGTTTTTCCTTCTCAGCAACAGGATGATACGTCATATACCTCATCGCATTCTGGGTATGGTTTAGTCTGTTAGACTAACATGTTGCAAGGAGCTAGTGAACTAAAGGTATTATGTTCTTCTTGTCTCTTGTAATGTGATCACTGGGCCAGATGACACGATACTGCATTATCAGTACGATTCAGGTTTGATTACATCTCTCAGTGAAAATGAGTGTTTCTTCAGGGTTACCGGGCCTGCTATACTGCTTCTGAGTGCTAACAAGTCCCTTAGAGCTTGGTACCAGTTGACCATTTCGACGTCTAACATCAAGTGTACTATTTTTCAGAGACTCGATAACGATTAGTTTTCGTTTATGTTTTATTTTCCACCTTTTGTTACTCTTTTCACTGTTGTAAATATTTCAGGTGGAGGTATGAAAAAGTTAAACAGACGTGGGCGAAGACGAGTAAGCTTGTTGGCTATTCATTTTTCCATATTGATCAATTTTTCCTTCAAATAACCAAAGGATAATTTGCATATTTTTAACCTATACAAACTTGACTAGCTTACACTAATATGTGAAGTAGTAACAGTCCTTTGATGAACTTCTCCAGCAGTAACTGATAGCAGTATGGTCGTCTATCTGTTCAAAGCTTTGAATTAAAGTCGGTTGGATGCCTCGTCAGACAGTATCTCTCTTCATGTCTTAAGTTCGTGTTGGCTAGAAACAGATGGCTATCTGAGCACAACTGTAGAGAGTTGCATCAACCCGAATGGGCTGGTTGCTGACAAAATCTCAGCTGAGTCACCGCCTACCTCGACGTGCCATTCTAGGGGAAGCTGGATTAGACTGGAAGAGGGTTCAGGGTGGCTAGACCAAGATGTGGCAACACCTGGTGAAGTCCTTGGCTGTTGATCTGAGTCGTGTGGTGCGATGCAGACTACATGGCTAGGGTCTTTGAAATGAAAGGAATTAGTGGTTGAGGACTATTGGTGACATGGATGAAAATCAGTTACAGTGGCTCAGTTTTATCCTCTCGTGAATGTCTTTAAAAGCTTGAATATTTGCATTAACCTTTATCTTCACATCACTTATTTGCTCACTCTATTTTATCTACTTTCTATTTATCTGTTCTTTGTGTACTACTACAGTGAAGTGAGGCAACTTGGTCCGACGCACCTATGTGTGAGGTTGTACATTGATTTTGTCAGTCAGTCACAGTTGTATCTGGCTCCTGCCATGACCTGTTCTTTCGGTTGTGATTCTGAAAGTGTGACGTAAATGCTTTTCTGCCGAGATTGCCTTACACACTCATGCATTATAATCGTCTGCTACGGAAACCACACTAAAACGTTTGGTTTCTAAATAGGAGGCTACTCAGTTTTCGGTAGAATTCATCTTTCAGTTCATAGGAATCGCGCTCAGGGGGTACGTAAGCAAAAATTATAAAGGGACAAGGGTAACGTTCACTGTTCCTTTTAGTCTTTATTACAGTATTCAATTGAATAACGCACAGGCAACTATCAAATGGAATATCTGCTCAAACTCACACAACCTTGTTGATGCTTATGGAGAGAGTTTCCGTCTGAAGTAATGGCAGCCCGCGGTTTTAACTGTTGCCGTTTATATTCAACTTCGTTTTGTGCATGATGATAGATACCTGGGTACCTTCTGGACCTGGGTAATGTCAGATCTTGTGCAATATGTACTGCTCAAAACCAAGTACACAAATATGTATTACCTGCTACTTATAGCGGGTGAACTTACTCCCTGGAGGGCACCTAGTTAACTTTTAGTATACAGATAACACTGTCCTGTTAGGCGAAAACTCTGAAAAATTGTGGGATCTTCTAGACACCTTCAGCAGAGATGTACGTTTTGCACCTGTGAAATGTAAGATGCTGCTTCATAATTGGTCTGCACCAAATCGTATTTTAAGAGTGGGGAATGAAGTAATTGAAAGCGTTAAGCACTTCACTTACCTGAAAAGTTGCATCAATACCATTAAAGGATGAGCATACTATGCTGCAGTCCTCTGCGTCCTATTGTACTACTGTGATACATGTCCTTGTGAACAGAGATTCTAGTTTTCTGACTACAGGATAGGCGAAGGGTACTGGCCAATGAAGGCGACTCAGTCGATGAGGTTGTGAACTCTTACGTACTAAGGCTTAACCGGCTATCATCCTGCGTCAAAGTTGGCAGTGGCCTGGCTTACGTAATATATAGCCGACTCACCTGAGTTCATCATTATACTGTAAAAATGTTGGAATAATGATGTTCCTTCAGTCAGTCTTTTATAATTACTTTAGATTTTCATTTGTATGTAACAGTCATCAAGCCATAAACCTGTACAGATAGATCATATTGCTGGAAGCCATTATTGAGGGGGACGGTTAGTGTGTGACTATGTTTCTGTGGATATTCTAATCTTTCGGCGCGAATACAAAACAGTTTTGTATCTGACGATCTATGCTGTCTGTACTGCACAATTGTGTATCTAGTGCATCATAGAAGGCATTATTATTTCTGTAGTCATTGCTGACTTGTAGCAGTTGTGTTTCGTAGTTCAGTCGATATAACTCTATGTTAGTAGCCTAGAGCTTTGTAGCTCGAATCACATCGTGACCTTGGATTCCTACCAGTTTCCATCTTCGACTCCTGTTTGTATATATCACTATCATTGAAGGCTAATAGTTGAATAACTAATAAAACTTGTGGACTTCCTTTCAAAGAAACACGAAAGTATTTTACGTCGATGAATTTATCGTCGTACTGTAACCGCGGATAGCAGTGACCAAGCTAATGATTTTACACAGATAAACAGGGCAACATTTGCTTAACTGTTTTCATACTTATTTCGTATTCGAACCGGCAATGATACGGTGATACCTATTAAAGTGTAGTAGTACGATAGGGGAAATTTGTAGCTTAAAATACTTACTGTGGCTGCTCTTATTATCTTGAAGCATAGGTTTTTGGCCACGGATTTTTTTATCATAGGACTGCTTTACTTCATCTGCGCTTACTGTATACAGTGGTTACATTTTATTACCACCTAGCTATTAGGACACTGTACTAGACTAAAACATGGCATCAATGCATTAAGTCCTTGACTATTTGTTTGGACCATGTAGGGCAATGCAGACTATTCGTCTGGGGTTCACAGAACAAGAGAAACCAATGGTTAGAAACTCTAGGTGATCTAGCTCAGAACCGATACCAGTGGCGCAGATACATACACACATTATCCTCGTCTCGACCACTATACTTAATTTCATCTTGTTCTTTCTTCCTCTCTTTTAATACTTTCTACTCCTTTTGACCTATGTTTCTTTTTTCACCTTCCATTTCATTGCCTTTTTATTTGATGTGCTGATGTGAGATGTGGCAACTTGAACCGTTACACGATAATGCCTAGTCCTACATTGATCTTGATGTTGATGAGAGGAGTTTAGTTACAAGATCTGTTTCATTTCAGTGGATATTTAGTTTCTCCAGTGTTTGTTTTGTTTAATTTATGTTTGTGTTACTTTCTAACACCATTTCAGTTTCGAGTGACAGCGGTAACTTTCAAGAAGGGTGGAAAGAAATAGGCAGAAAGATATCGATTAGCTTCTACGCATGCTAAAACTGAAAAAAGTTAAGATTATTTTTGACTGCTAAATTCATGTAGATAATTGTGTTTTATTTCTTCTCTCACCCAAATGTAGCGTGTTCGATGCAATAGCGATGCTGATTGTCAAGAAGGTTAGTTTCTTTCTTTGTGTAAAATTTATTTCTCAACAGTGTTTCCTACCATTTATATCCTGTAGGAAATGTTTTTCATAATTTCGTCAGATTACTAATTAAATGTTGCCTACCATGTAAGCAACTGGTGGTTACATTCACGATAAAACTATTCATTAGCACTAAATCTTATTAGCATCTATATACATTTACATGCATTAGGCAATAACGCACACCTGTTGTATTGTTAAGGTGGATGATACCACACAGAAGTCCGAACCTCAACAGATAGAGCAGAGTCCAAAGCCGTGATTCATTGGTTTACAGATGATTGTCCTGACAGACGAGCAGCGGCTATACCACGATACTGTCAGGTAATTCTAGTGTGAATGATACAACAACTCAATGCTTTTAGCAATTTCATACAACTAGTTCCCTGTACTCTAAATCCTCCACATACACATTAAACTGAAAATTGAAAACAGTAAGTAACCTATCATTGTCCAACATAGGTCATTTGATGCATTTTAATAGTAAACAACACCAAATTCATCCCTCTAAATTAAACATCAATACTTATACATAGATGGGAGCAGAGATGAATGAAAAAGTTCACGATCTAAACAACCAATACAGGGAACAAGTCAGACTATAAAATCGGTCATTAAACACAAAGCAAAATACGACATGTGATAGTAGTACAGGAATGTGATTACAGCTCATCGTGGTAGGAATTCTGTTGGAAGGGGAAGAACAACAAAGATGGTGTGCAAAGTATGTGCATTAATGGTAGACTTATGGAAAAGGATGTGCTAACAAACATAATAAAGATATAGTGGGTTAAAGTAAATGGAAAATGATGGGAATACGGAGAATATTTGAGAATAATATGTAAGACAATAAGATGAAAGAATAAAACAGTAAATAAGACTGTAGGGAAAGAATAGTTCACCAAGGCAATGTAAGGTGAACCATAAACTTCTTTTGTACACATAAGTGTGGTTTCAGTTGACGAATTGCTACTGTTTCTGTTGATTACCTTAAAAGCTATATGTTTGAGTCGACGGCATGACTTGTATCGAAGATGTGCTTGCGAATAGCGCTGCTTGATAGCCTTCCACCTCTCAATGACAGGCTTTTCGGTATGTGTTCAGAGATTCGTTCAGTATGAACCCTCTTCGTTCTTCCGACATACGTGCTACTGTAAGTATAGGTGAATAAATAAATACAATTGGAGGTAATATGATGAGGTCTCGCATCTAAAATAAGTTTCTCTGATCATGTTATTCGTGTCATAGACAACTGTTAATTTTGCAGCTGGATAAGTAGGTTAGTGCGATGTATGCATTCAGTGGGCGATTATTTTGTGAACTCAATTCATCGCTTTTGAAGGGTGGTAGTGTAATGAACATAATCTTTTTTGGCACGGTTGTGTAATTCAATTTCTCATTTTTAGGTTTAAAGTGTTTATTGATGAACTTTATGGGATATCCATTATCTAACAAAGTTTTGAGACCCTGAGGTAAACATATACCAAGAATGTATGATCTTCCCCAGATATACAAAGCGGGAATATCTTTACGTCGTATATTGGCCATGTCGAACTCCCCATCCCATGAACTGGCTCGATGGCTTGGACAATTAATTTAGGCTATCAGGAAAGAGCTAGTTGTCAATTCTTTGAAGGATAGTTTAGAATTTGTTAATAGGATTGATGATATTAATCCAGGTAAACATCACATTGAGTCATAAACCCACTTGGACCGATCAATATTAATGCCATTTCAAAGTTTCTGTCCGATGGTTTACAATGACTCAATACCAAAAGAAACTTGTTGTGACTTGTTCCCTGTATTGGTTGTTTAGATCGTGAACTTTTTCATTCATCTCTGCTCCCATCTATGCATAAGTATTGATGTTTAATTTAGAGGGATGAATTTGGTGTTGTTCACTACTAAAATGTATCAAATGACTTATGTTGGACACTGATAGGTTACTTACTGTTTTCAATTTTCAGTTTAATGTGTATGTGGAAGATTTAGAGTACAGGAAATGAATTCGATTCATCAAACATTATTTGTTGTTCTTTCTTTTCAAAAAATCACTGTTTGTCATTTGAAATATTATCACTTTATTGGAATTAAAGACGATGAGGCTGATAAGTTGCTGGTTGGAACACTGCCTCACATACTGGGGCTGAGATAACCAGTATCACTAGTCGTTACACAATAGGTTTGACTTATTTCCTAGTATGGAAATATGTACTTGGTTTTTGAATCACATCATTTTCATTATGAGTGATTTGACGACAACTGAAGGCCTGTAGTTATTCTCTGTTAAGCATCAGCTTATGGAAAACGTGATAATTGAGCAGAATCAAAAGGTAACATGAAACGTTTACTGCTACATTATCGAAAACGAACTAATTATGTTGAAATCTGGATATTTTAATTAACTTCAAGAAGGATCGATACGTCAGTATAAAGGTGAAAATTGTTCTACACTCTCCTTATTGTCAATTAACCTAATTTTACTAAGGACTGAGTGGAAATCGAAATCTACTCAGTAGCGCTGTACACATTCGTGCAGTAGGCAATGAGCCTCACTCATTATATGCGTGTTGATGATACTACCTGATTGCTCAAACTTTGGTAGGTGGACTAGTTTTGGAACTCGTAACCCACTGGTTAAAAGTCAACTGTACAGACGAAACCAATGCACCACAAATTCACACAGGATTAATGCTGCAGACCCAGTGGGTAATAAATATCAACCAGGAGCTAACAAACAGCATACTGGGTCAGGTGTCTGTGGTTGATGTTTCCTGTTAATATTTTGTTGGTTAAGTAATTTACTTTGTGGTGATTAATTATCAGTTGAACTAGGTTTTTAATCATGACTGACAAAATTAAGATTGAACCTCGCCCATAGGTGCATCGGTTCAAGTTACCACACTTCACTGTAGTCGTACACAACGAACAGATGGATAGAAAAGGAATGATATCAAAGTAGTGTACACGAATGAACAATCTGAAGATAAATTGTACCAATCACTGATTCCTTTTGTCTCAAAGCCTCCAGTCTAACAGTCTACATCGCCTAACACGACTCAGGCCAATAGTCACCGACTTCGTCGGATGTTACCATATCCTCATCTGATCACCATGAACTCTCTTCCAAACTAATCCAGCTTTCCCTAGCATGGCGAATCGTGGTAGGCAGTGACGTGGCATGTGCAGTAGATGTTGAAGCCATCTCAGTTGACTGAGGTTCACAACCTCATCAATCGAATGGTCTGTCGTGGCTAGTATCCTTCACCTGACCTCGCTCGACGTTGTTCAAACGGTGATTCCATTAGACAGATGCAAGGAGTGCTACGAAGACATCTGTGATCAAAACCCTGTAGTCGTTGGATGTCTTCTCCTTTCAACGGCCATGTCTCACTCTGTACAACAGTAGAGAAGGGACTGCAGCGCAGTATACTTATTGTTTGATAGACAGTTGGATATCTCTCCAGTTTACGCCACTTATGGGGCAAATTGACAAATGCCAAACAGGCCTTGTGTATCCCAGGTGAGATTTTGTCGGCAACCACCCGTCGGGCGGTTTGAAGTGGTCGACAGATTCCTACACTTAACTTCCTACCATTAAACTAGGATTGGTTGTAAATTAGTCCTGAAGCATTATCTTATATGAAGATAAGATTGGGGGTTGGTGGGGGTGGAGAAAGAATATGACTAGTCAATCAATTTTTTCAAGTCCTAATTATGCGCAGCAGCGAATATTATGAATTAGTTAAGGTCACACCTACATTATGGTACTAAAATTCAGCTTGATCACCGGTATCGAGTATCTAAACTAACAGCTGATAACGTCGTTTATTATCACCTGGACAGATAGTATTTTTCACATTTATTTGTATCAGGATATCTTGTTGTCGTCTTCATCCTTGGTATATAATTATCTACTTATATTATATGGGTCATTCCAAGGTCAAAACTCACTAGTTAATCAACATCAACGTAGAATCTTGTGTTTCAGCGTATCTGTTAAAGTTGTCACAGCTTACAGTTGATTAAGGTATTAGGAAATAAGATGAACGATAAAGAAAGAAAGAAAGAAATCGTATCATAAAAAGTAGTAAAACGTTTTGATATAAAAACAAAATACGAGATGCGATGTAAGTGCTGAAGTGTTGTAGGCAGAGTATGGATGCATCTGTACCTTTGAAATCAGTTCGAGTCACCTCATTGAAGTTATCTAATCGTCGATTTCGGTTATCATGGAAACTACAGTTTACTGCCTTAATACGGCGGTCGGTATCGCCTTTCACGGTGATCCAGTGGAGCGCAAAATATTAGCTAGAAAGTTTATTCTTTGACGTTCTATCGTAACAGGAAAGTTCCTTAATGAAGAAGGTTAACTGGCAAAGTGAAAAACAACTACCGTCACAGTGTGAATAATATGCTTTATTGTATGAGGAATGAGTCATCTTGCTTGTGGGAAATACCACCTTGCATTTTAAGTTTCTCATAATGAATAACTCGTGCAGATATCAGATCTCAGTAATACTTTGGAAAATTTTCTTCGTTTTTGAACTATCCGGTACTGGATGGTCATTTATATTTACATTTTTGTCTCATTGATCACCCTTAGATTTATGATCTGAAATTTCACGAAATATTTTGAGATGGTTGGATTTCTCTAGTTCTGTCATGGTAATCTTCGCTTAGTCGGTAAATACTTAGGATTCATCCAGTTTATACTACTGAGCTAAATAACACTGTGCTAGGTTATAACTGAATTATATAACATGTAATGTGGTGGAAAGCCATGGAAGGAAGAACAAGGAATGTATCAGCTTCTTCCGAACATATAGCGCTGGTTTCATCTTAATGATGATAGTCTCAATTACATGTATGAGAGAAATCTGTACTACCTGTGGTTTGATAGTTAATTAGATTATAAATCACCAAGAAGGTAGATTTAATGTCAACAAAATGACTAGTATGGATCATGTGTAACTGGACAAGGTCATCTTCACGTTTGACCAGTCACGCCGGGAGATATTGTTCAGGACTACAAAGTTGTCATAATGCATCTGAGATAACGAATCCCATACCAGCATCTGAATTTATAGATTCACAATGATCTGAACACATGAAGAACTCCGTATTTTGTCCGTGGTAACAAGATACATCTAGTTGTAGAGATTCGATTCATTAAAGCTGTTTGGAATATCTTCTTCAATAATCACTACAGTCGGTTAGTGAGAATTTCGGCCAGATTACCTATCTTTAACTGAAGGCTTATAAATCGTTGCTTTCAAAGACAGATGTAGGTAACCGGCTTCTTTGTTTGAATAATTAAATTCTTCGTCATACAATTTCAAGGGTTTTTATCTTGGACTTTGCCTTTTTGTCATAGAAGCACAAAACCGTAGAAATATGTACAGCGTTGTCCTTTCCAAGATGGCTTTCGAAGTGTCAAGATCTTTTCCGTTTCCGTTTTATATTCATGAGTTGTCATTACATTTTTAACCTTCTCAGGTTCACTTATTATCTTAATCTAAATTAATGATTTCTTAAGCGTAAATCCTTTCATTTTTGTGTCCAGAAAACTTGTAAAATAAGCTGAACCGGATGTGAATAAATTAATGTCATTCAAATATTGACTAAGTGTTCACTAAATTGTTATGCTTCAAATCCATACAACCACTCACTCGATGTAGTGATGATGATAATTCGATTATAAAAGTATTTTGTTTAAAGATTGGGCCTTATAAGACGTAAAACTTCCATCTTCTCAACTGGATACAATAAGTAAGTTCTGTGCATTCAATTCACTGAATTGAACGGATTCGAACTCTTCGTTTCCATGTGAGTCGTATGTTTGTCTTTCGAAATTAAATTACTTCAGTCTGACCAACAATAAATAGTACTCCTTAGTTAGTGTTACTTAGTTTCAAGAATTAAATTGCATAAACAACAATTTAATCTGGCAATAAATGTGATATCATTTTGGAGTTGCAGTAGCAGCACCTTGAGGTCGGTTGGAGGCAATAAAAGTAAGAATGAAGAAAGAAGCGTGGTATAGAATCCATTGAAAACAAAGGGGAACAAGGTCACCAGAGTACTAGTATTGATTTATGTAGATGAAGATGGATCTACACCACTTCGATCAACCATGTATTTCAATTATTTTACTGATCCCCATAAGAAGGGTTATTTATCTCAGGTTCACCATCAGACCTTACTTTAGTTTGATCGCCCTGAACTTTTCTATCAGATTAACACCGTCTAGCTGAATATTACAGTCAGAGAAAGTCACTTGTGATTTTTATGTTTGTACGGAGGTTTCTTTAGTCATCAAAACCATCATTACTGGTACAGCTTTTTTACAACACACCTATGCAGATCAATCCTAGAGGAAAGATTCACATTGAAGAGGTAAGAAAGGCATCGCAAAGATTTTCAAATTAGTTTCTCAAAGTGCGTTAAAGCTTATGTGTGTCGTTAGTGTCTTCACTTAGCAGGAACATGCTATCGGCCTACTCTAGACTTTTTAGCAACGCGTTCACTAGCGGGTAGATGAGAAATACAATTACTCATCTGTAATTTCCCTAAACTGTGATGCTTGTAGAATATTCTTATCATCAACTTCATCATCACCATCATCTTTCAACGCAAAAATCATGGGTGCAGGCAGACAGATAAAATCAACGTTTAACTTCACACAGGAGTACATCGGTTCAAGTTGCATCATCTCATAGCAACACATAAAGAACAAGTGGGTAGAAAAACAGTCATATTACAGTTGATTGTAAGTTAAACGAAAGTGCTAGAACTTTCGAAGATGTCAAAGAGTGAATACATGCTCACCGTTGTTACTGATTTCCATCCATATCATCGAGGGTTTCTAGCCATTAGATCCTATTAATTCAAGGACCACAGACAAGCGACACCTCTCTACATGGCTTAAACCTAAAGTCTGGAACTTCATGTACTGATGTCAGGTCCTTGTCTAACCTAGTCGGTTAATAAGCATTATGCATGTATCTTCGGATGCGAATCTGAGATGTGTAGATCTTGAATGTCTTTATACTGATGGTCACAGCCAAGTCAGTTGTGACAATCAATATTCAGGCAATATCGAGGCATCCGCGTAGGAGCCTATTTGCCAACAGAGGTCGACCAATTTTTATTTTGTATAACAACAGAAAATTACAAGTAATAAATAATATTTCTGTTTAAAAAATATTAGGTCAAACATGCAAAGAACGTCGTCATGGTGGACGTAAACACCATAGTGTTGGCGCTGGTGGTGGCATCAATGCAGCTGATTCATCATCATTATCGTCTCATGGGTTAAAAACAGGAGGAAATAAAGTTTGTCGTGAAAGAAGACATGGTGGAGGAGTGCATAGAAGATCAGGCGCCTTGTAAACTTTAGCAAACAGTTTAATACGTGATAATAATAATAATAATTATTATTATGATGGATTATCTCTTGCAAAGGTACTTCATTCACCCTCAATGCTAAATAATATCCGTTATTTATATTTAATACATAAATAGCTTGTATGTGCTTGCTTATTTTCTTGTCTAAAATTGCCTGTTATTTTCATCTTTCTTTTTTCAAAATGAAACAATCAGTTTTCAAATCAGTATGCATTGTTAACGTCTTCTATCTTGTGTTCATCACTCGTTTTATTGTTATTTTTTCCATTGTGAAATCACCCTTTTCTCTAAGCTTCACTCACTTTTTTATGCGTAATCCAAAGTTGTCTTCCCGCATTTGTTCATGTGAGATTAGGAAATTTTATCACATCAGAATGATATTTGAAATATAGACGAATTGTCAGTCAAGCGAACGTTTCATTATCTCATGTCACCGCATTTAAAAAAAACAGTAATTCATTCATTGTAATTTTAAACAAATCTCTTTCTTATCATTTAATTTGTGCTGTTTTCTTATTGTATGTCTTTTTACAATAATAATAAATTGATTACACAGTACTACCGATGGCATGTTTAGGTAAAACTGTCTACTTTCTATCATAATGCGAATCACTTCGTTTAAGGGAGTATTTTTGTATACAGTGTGGAGTTCTCAATGTTAAATATTGCCAGAAGTTTAGTCTTTGTACAACGTTTCCCAATAAAATAATAATAGTAATTTAACAACGTTAAAACTAATGGTATTATTGGCACTCGTAAATGAACGATGGCAAGCATTAAATAACTGTATCACTTTGACTATTTGAGATATATGTGGTATGGCAAACTTGTATTACTGATACTAGGTGATGATTGAAGGTAAAATCAAAAAATGAAGATAACGGCAGAAGTTGGAATCAGCGACTTCCGGGTTACCCGCCAGGTACTCAACCAACTGAGAAACGAGACACGGCTGATGGCCACATTTTAATTTCACTTCAGTCACCAAGAGTTTTGCCCGACTTGTATGCAAATTTGTTATGCGTTATTGTCCGCTTATGGTATACACACTGGTTTATATTTCCCCACGCCCTAGATTTTCATCACACCTTCAATCATCATCCAGTATCAATGATACAAGTCTGCCAAACTATGACTATCTCAGATAGTCAAACTGATAACTAATATGATGCTCCCGCTATCTAATTCAAGTACATCTGGATTGGGATGAGAAGCCCTGGCTGGGCAGCTGGTGTGAATATGAACAACTGATGGTAACACATCAAGAAATCATATGGTAGTCAAGCTGAACCCTTGGTAATTGAAGTGAAATTGAAATTTCGTCAGTAGTTGGTTGGGTCTTGTAGCTCTCAGCTGGTAGAGAGGTAGGCCAGTAACCTGGAGACCGTTGATCCGAATCCTGCCACGATATAGACCTTCATTTCACATTTAGTCATCACTCAGTATGAGCTAACTACTTGACTTATGTTACAAAGTTCTTCCCTAACATTTTTTTCTTCACCTAAGGCGCATGTTAACAATAACTGTGCTTTAAATAATTTGAGCATTTTGTTTCATCGGAGAAATAAGTTTTGGAGTTGTATTTTTTTTTTTTTTTTATTTTTTTTTTTAAAAGAAATTAGTTCATTTTCTTTCTATTTTTTGTGACACCAAGTTTCTGAACCATATAGAAGCACTGAATTGACATTCGTGTAGAAAATCCGGATGTTGTTCACGCTTTATGCTGAGTGGAGTGGAGTGCAGTAGACCTCAACACTGATTTCAGATTAATGAAGCAAGGCCTGTCTTGCTGTCTTTCCGATCCTGGCTGGCTGGCTTTGACGTCCTCATCTGTGCCTGTGCCGCCACCAGTAGTTGAAACGATGCTGCCTTGCTTAGGTAGGTGAAAGAGACTACTTCCTTTAAGTTTCTCCCGTTCATCGTGATTGGTGCTTGTTGATGATGCTGCTGTTCGTTGGGTATCTTCATCACCTCTGTCTTCTATATGTTCACGTGTGGGAATTCCCGTCATCACTGACTCGCCTCTTCTATCAACTTGTTAGATTTCGCCTGTAGATGTTCGAGTTTAGGCGACAAGGCATTAGACATAAATCATCATCCTTGGCGAAATCCAAATCTTCTTTTGGGGTCTTTTCATCGGTCCACCCAGAGTATGCCCATCTTCTGGCTCCTCACGGTTTGCCGCATGATCCAGTCGAGTCCACTCCAGTCGACCACAATCAGGAAGATCATTGGTGATAGTGTGGGGCAGACTTGTCTTACTGCTTCCTGTCTTCACTTCAAACGTGTCACTGAGTTGAGCTTTCCATTGTGGATCACTTGGCATGTGGCATCGTCATATAGCTGTTGAATGAGGTTGATAGAGATTTGTGATACTAAAACCGTAGTGTTGGAGCAGCTGCCTACCAAATTACTTGTTAGTTGATGCTGTCGAAGGTCTTTTCCAGTTGAGTGTCATTCTATGCTGCGTGATGTCGCAATGTGATGCGCACATGATTTGTTCTTCCTGAAGCCAGCCAGCCAGACTATTCTGGGTTTTGGTTTTGAATGCGGAGCATTTTTCAGTCTCTCCAGGTTGATGTGACAATATTTTGCCTGCTTTGCGTGGGTAGGAGCATAATTCCACGCCTATACTTGGAAAGATTCAGATCACACTTAGTTGGATGGTACGTTTCCATCCCTCCTTCCAAACCTCCTGCAGTAGTGGTGTGAGCATGTCCACTGTTGTCTCTGTATCTGTTTTCAGTACTTGTGGTGGAATTCCAACTGGCGCTGCTGCTTCCCGCATTTCAGTAGCTTTATGGCGTTCAGAACTTCCATTTTTGTTGCAGGATTTATGTTGACTTGTAGTTCAGCGGCTGTAGGTGGTATTTGTGGACGAAGTGCAGGTGGTGGTGGTGGTCGATTCAAGAGTTTTTTGAAGTGGTCGGATCATCGTTCTCTTTGTTTCTCCTCTTTGCTAACTAGCTTTCCTTCACTCTCTTTCATTGGTTTCATCTGCGTTGCTATCTTTCCAGACAGTAACCTGGTGATTTGATATAATGTTGTCAGGTCTCTGTCTCTCCTACCAGCCATCAGCCTGTTCTGCTTCACTTGCAAGTGTGTCATAGAAGTGTCTTTTGTCTATCCACGCAATCTCCTTCACTTCTTTGTCCAGTGTAGTGTTTTATAGGTTGTGTTCAGATCCTCTTTTCGTTGTTCATCCATGCACTGCACTGCTTCATCTTCTGCTTCTCCATCACAATCTTCCTCTCCCTCCTCTATCAGCTTCCATGTGTCCATCGAGATGCATTCCACTCCTTGTCTTGTTTCCGCTTGCTTCCTAGCACGGTTATGCAGGTTTCCTTCCACCTCGCTTTCAAACAGTTCCAGTGTTTTTCAACCCAGGCTTCTTCAGCCATGTTGCTTAATGGCTCCACTTTGTCCTGATGACTACTGACTGACGTGAAGAAGTCACTTGTAGTTTCATCCTTCACTTCACTTTCTGTTCTCCGTGTTCAACTTCAACTGTGGTTTATCATCACCAACTTCTGTGAAGGCTTTCAACTTGATTTTGTAGGTAGGTTCCTTGCACTAGATATTGGTGTGAGTGGTGTGAACCTGCATCTGCTCCCCTTCTCGATCTGTTCTTGTGTCCAGTAGGCTGCGTCTCCATCTCCACTTTCTTCACATTGAGATGAAGTCGATGTGGTTTTAAGTGTGTCCTGGTGTCTGGTGAGATCAACTCCATATCGCTCGCTTGTGAATGTCCTTGTGTTTCTACACACTGTCTGCAATCACCAAGTCGTTGAATTCGCAGAAGTCTGCAAACGGTTCTCCGTTCTCGTTCACCATTGCACCAAGTGCTTCTCGACCCATGATGAGTTCTCTCCCCATGTTGTCTGCTCCCAGTTTCGCATTCATACCAGTCATCCATTAGAATGAACTTTAATGTTGCCAACTGGGTGGGGTCTTGTCCAGTACTGACTGGTTGCAGTTGTCTGTAGAATTTCTCCTTCTTCTCTTGCTCTGCATTATTTGTAGGTGCGTGGTGTAGAGTGGCATTGTATGATTGTGACTTTCCGTCCTTCTGAGTTGAATTCATCCTATGGTCATGATCGTGGAGGAGATTGGTCCCCACTGCATGAGAGAGAGCCTTCAATGCTGTTGGGATGGGACATCATGAAAGCCACTCGAAAACTCAGTGTACTGTGCTCGTGGTTGTCGTCTGGGTGACAATGTCGGAGTAGATTATTGACTCTCCAGTCGAGAGTTTGGAGAGTCGACTTCCATTCCATCTGCTTTCGCAGATTCCGAGTCTAGCACTTCTATGTCATACCTTCTCATCTCTTTGACAATGTGGACAGCCTTGTCAGCCAGTCAGCCAGCTTCAAACATTGTGCAGACATTCCATGTCCCCACGTTTACTTTCGCTTTTATCGAGGGAGAGAAGACACATCGACTGACTGGCTTCTCGAAGATTTCCACCAACTGGCTTCATTTTGTCTCTCCGATTCCAGTGAGGAATAAGTTTGTTTTTATTTTTAATATTTTCTCTGTGTTTTGAAGTTTCTTTAGCGGTTGAATTGGTTTTGGGGTGTAGGGTTGTTAGCTCTATGTCCAACCTTCTCTGTTTATCTGGTCTTAGTACCAGCTAGAAAACTAGTGGACTAGTAAACTAGGCGACGTACTCAATGATTTCTGTATGTTTTACTGCTGGTTAGGTGATACCAACTATTACATTTTATTTTATTTTTTGTACGTGAAATAGGTCATTTCAGTTTTATGATTTATGGTGCCCCGTGCACAGGAAATTCAGTTAAATCTGCGTATGATTCAGATTGCCTAAAATATATGGATAATAAACTCTAGACTCTATGTTTCGTTTATATGGTTGGGATGATTGAAGTACGTTGCTCATTGTGTAGGTGGATTCAGCATGCGTGACGTCTCAAGCCTCCGCGAGACTAATCACATCCGGAGTCAGCTTTAGGAATGAACTGGCAAAATCACGCCGTTCAGACAATTATTGCTAGACTGGGATTGTCATTTGTCAACTTGCCTCATATGTGGCGTAAACTGGAGAGATATCCAACTGTCTATCAAACAATAAGTATACTGCGCTGCAGTCCCTTCTCTACTGTTGTACAGAGTGAGACATGGCCGTTGAAAGGAGAAGACATCCAACGACTACAGGGTTTTGATCACAGATGTCTTCGTAGCACTCCTTGCATCTATCTAGTGGAATCACCATTTGAACAACGTCGAGCGAGGTCAGGTGAAGGATACTAGCCATGACAGACCATTCGATTGATGAGGTTGTGAACCTCAGTCAACTGAAATGGCTTCAACATCTACTGCACATGCCACGTCACTGCCTACCACGATTCGCCATGCTAGGGAAAGCTGGATTAGTTTGGAAGAGAGTTCATGGTGATCAGATGAGGATATGGTAACATCCGACGAAGTCGGTGACTATTGGCCTGAGTCGTGTTAGGCGATGTAGACTGTTAGACTGGAGGCTTTGAGACAAAAGGAATCAGTGATTGGTACAATTTATCTTCAGATTGTTCATTCGTGTACACTACTTTATCCACTTTGATGTCATTCCTTTTCTATCCATCTGTTCGTTGTGTACGACTACAGTGAAGTGTGGTAACTTGAACCGATGCACCTATGGGCGAGGTTCTAGACTGATTTTGTCAGTCTGATTGAAACACATAACAGCAGTAAATTTAACAGCTATATTGTTGAAACTAATTCAGCATAGTTTTGACAAGCGAATCGACGCATACTACTTACTACTTATGGTTTCGAATGATAATAAAAGCCAGAGGATGTACAGAAGTTAAGGGATGTCGAAAGAGAAATTTTTTTAATTTTTTAAGCAAATGCGTTACTTCTTATCATATGAGTTACCATTCCGTATTCGAATGGTGTTTATTTTTTACTGCTTTTAATATTTGAATAAAATTATCATTCCTTTTTTCCTCCATCTTATCTATGCATTTTGTTTAACTACAGTTAACTATCAATAGGACATCTTTCAAATCTATGCAACGAAGCCTATTTAGATATACTTTTTATGAAACAATGAAGATAAATTAATCTTCTGTTGATTGAATGATAAATTAAGTACATCTCTCTTCTATTCCACATAAATCATTGATCAAATATTTATAGTTAACGCGTTCAACTTTTGATTTAGAACTACCAGAAAGACCAAGCGATTTTGGTGCATCACCCTTACTCACTGATAGCCAGTCGATTTCCACATTGCCTGTATAGTCACATGGTACTTGGATTGACATTCCTTCGGTTGTGGGACATTTCCAGTTGAGTTGATTCATGAACAGTTCATACTGTATTAAACCATTTTCATTGGCTAAGCTAAAAATATTGAAAAAGAAGGATGCGAATAAAAATTTATTCATGATGGTCATGAAAGCTGACAGAAGGTGGTCAGTCAGAGCCTTTACCTTTGGCAACCTGTTATAGGTTGGTTGGTGCGTTTATAATTGGTCATACAACAAGAAAGTAACAAAGAAGAAAAAATTCTTTCCAATGATTTCATTTACTAAAGCTCTACAGTCTTAGTTGTAAGTTTTGCAAACATTGGCTGAATAACTTATCAACTTTTGAGGATACATCCTCCTACTTAGCAAATATAGCCTAAACGTTCACTGTCCTCATGGATTTAGAAGATCTGCTTTGAAGATACACAAGAATGAGTTAGAATTTCCAAATAACATTCTACTGGAAAACAGTCAATCACCTAGATTCATTGATATGAAAGAAAAACCGCAATCATAAAAGTTATCTACCGTCTCGATGGAAATTCTTTACTTGAATTCAAAGATGACATTACAACTGATATTCAAGAAAATTGTCTCTCAAGATCTTTGATGAAAGCACTTTATGCAGATACCCTTAGAATCAGATTCTTCAGTAGACAATTAATCCATCGATGCGCTAAAAATGAATTACCGCTTTTGCTACCTAAGTTTGTGTCTCTAAGTGGAGCAAACTGGATTGGTCGTAAACAGCGTCAAGTTCGTAAACATATTTTGTTCAGCTTGATCATCCAGAGGTGGAGGAAGGAATGCCAACACTTCTCCTCTCGAAAACCCCACCGTCTCCAGGTATCTAACCTATCTCAGTAGTTCTTTCGAATATCTGTATAGCCGAAGAGTCATTGACTAAGATAAAAGGACTAATTAGCAATCAGTGAATTGCATTGATTTTTTGAGTAATGTCAATCTGTGATATGAACTAGTCTAAAAATAAATGATTTTCTAATGTCTAAGGTGAAGTATACATGTAATCATACCAATTCTTTCTTGTCAGTACTCATCATATGGAGTGTAAAGTAGAATTCAACATTTTTATCATTTATACTATATTTATTTGCCCGTTTAAACGCCTCACTTCTTAAATATTCCTTACTAAAATACTTTTGTAATCGATTGTATAGATAGATCATTGGGAACCAAATAGGTGAGTGGGATTAGAATAACACTTGTATGACAGAGATGATGATTAATTTTGAGACATAGTATTATCCTACGGTCTTGTGTAACAACTTGACAAATAAGGGAATGAAAAGAATGAACGATTGAGAGAACAACGTTTCACACTGTTACATACATCAAGAATTCAGTATGAATTCTTTATCATCTTTTGAGGTAGAGGAGGGTAAGATATGCCTTTTTGAGAACTCAAAGGAAACAACGATGATCAGTATATCCGGTAATTTAATGGTGGTACAATCTTTGGGTCTAATGAGGCAGCAAAGTTCACAGTGGTATATATGTCGATGGGGTGGTAGGAATGGAGGAACTTACTAAATAGTACTATTTGAATAAAAGGGCGCAGTTTAATGTGGGTTCACTAGAAAAAACAACTCGGTAGTATAAGAATTTATATTACCTGCCTTTCTTGTTTCACGTCAAAGATAAGGTGTGCGTATACTGGTAGATAAGGAATGTAAAGGATCAACCTACCGAAAACGAACTTATATCATTAAGCTGTAAGGAAATTAGCGCAAAGTACACAACTCTCGCGAGTTGTGGTTCTTACTAGCATGAGCACTTGTGCGTTTATTAGCTAACGTGTGGTTCTCCCTGTCTCTTCCAGATCTGGGACCACGATGAATCCTTATAAAAAATGGTGAGTCGAGAAAAGCCATGCACATCGAATTGTTAAAAGAGTTCACGCACCAATGAATATATGTCACCAAACCTTGGGGTTAACTAGTTATCCGTGGTTTTGGCGGGCTCGCCTGAAGTATAGATTGTATTCGGGGATCTTTCGTTGATATTTGGTTAGAAGCTGAAGATGGTGATCTCCTGACAGATGCACATAGTTTGCAAGGAGAAAATACAAAAACCACTGTCGTGAGCCGGAGCGCAGTAAGCACATCAAGATGCACTTAGTGTCAATCAGCTTTCTAGTTTTAAAGTGAGGCTCAGTTCCTATAAGGCCGTCTTATACAAGGGATAGCTGACTTCTTCAAACGTTATTCTCATAAAGAGTAAGAGTTATTATCCTAGCTTACTTGATTTGAGTCCTGTTTAGCGTATATTGGTAGGATTACTCAATAGTATCATGTCAGTTTATGCACTTATCTCATACCTTACCTTTATAAAAACGCATATGAATTAGACTTGATCATCGAGATGCTAAAAATGTGGCACTGTGGCTCATTGGTCTAGGTATTTGACCGATGGGTCACGAGTTTGAATACCGCTCTACCTACCGAGGCCTGGGGAATCTAGTAGTAACAATCGCCTTGACACAAAATATTTCGTTCACTGTCTACACCACGAATGCGAATATGTTTACTGAATGTATTTCTTTCGTAAACATGCTCTTTACAATGACCGAATGTTAGGATTTAGGGAATAATGGCACAGAAACACACGAAAGCTCATCATTTTCAGTAGTCACATTTCGCAACAACACAAAAGGATTATCAAACATTGAATAAACAACGAAAAGTAAAGTGTATTTCTTCACGACTGTGTTTTAAAGACCTTCAACTACCAGTTACTAACAGCTAAATGACATTGAGCAATAAGTTTATACTTCACTACATTAAATTTACGACTGATGTTCTGTTTTTAGTGTTCATATCTTTATCTGACTTTCCGGACTTAATTCTCCTATGATAAGCATTACGTAGCAAAGTATGTGATGGTTCTTCCTGCACAGCATTTTTATTAAGATTACAAACTTGGTAATCATTTGGGGTGAACAGATAACTGGAAAGAAAAGTCATTGATTTGTTTGCCTATCGTTCACATAAACTTGAAATGACCTTGAGTATCCTGTTGTTTATATCTTACTAAATGTCAATGGATTAAAACAACCTTTTGCCTAGTAGGTTATCAGCAGATTTTGATTTCAACTAAGTATATGGTTTATTTATAAAGTTCAGTGTTAAATGGCGTAATTTCTATAGAACGACATACTATGCGTTGATATTGCATGAAAGTTGAATATGAGACGCCAACTTCATTGTTCAATTTTCATTCGTTTCACGCAATGTGAAATTCATTTCAATAAATCAGGTATTACACATCAGTCAGCATCTTCATGATCAATAATAATATAACTAAGATTTCGCTGTTTATATGTACAATAGTATATGATATAAACCCCTTATTCTGGTGAAAATCATCAAATTTTTACAGTTCGTACATTGTTTCATTGATCAGTTTATATTACAAGGAATAAAAAGTGATTGGTAGTTTACGAAAACTGTTACTGTCTTGTATCATCATGTTATTATTTATTATTGTCCCTTGGGTTCCTAGTGAAACAGAGCTTCAGTAGCACGTCTCCATTACACTCTGTTCTCTGCAGTCTTTTGAACCTGGCTCCATGACTGCCATGCTGTTAGAGACTTCATGAAAACCACTCGAAAACTCAGTGTACTGTACTCGTGGTTGTCGTCTGGGTGACAATGTCGGAGTAGATTATTGACTCTCCAGTCGAGAGTTTGGAGAGTCGACTTCCATTCCATCTGCTTTCGCAGATTCCGAGTCTAGCACTTCTATGCCATACCTTCTCATCTCTTTGACAATGTGGACAGCCTTGTCAGCCAGCCAGCCAGCTTCAAACATTGTGCATACATTCCATGTCCCCACGTTTACTTTCGCTTTTATCGAGGGAGAGAAGACACATCGACTGACTGGCTTCTCGGAGATTTCCACCAACCGGCTTCATTTTGTCTCTCCGATTCCAGTGAGGAATAAGTTTGTTTTTATTTTTAATATTTTCTCTGTGTTTTGAAGTTTCTTTAGCGGTTGAATTGGTTTTGGGGTGTAGGGTTGTTAGCTCTATGTCCAACCTTCTCTGTTTATCTGGTCTTAGGACCGGCTAGAAAACTAGTGAACTAATTAACCAGGCAAGGTTGTATCATCATAAAATACTTTTAATTCAAAACAAAACAACGAAACAGCCTCAGTGTCTTGAGGAAACCTTACTGAGTGGAGATCGCAATCCAGTTTACGTTCTATGAAGTGTACGAATAGTATGGAATACCTACTCACTCCTGCCTATTTAAACACTCAATGTCTGAAGGTAATTTTTAGTATGAGGTATCGCATCTATGTTACCTGATCAACGCTAGCCACGTTAGTGATTCCCTCTAGATTGATAGGAAGGTTATTGATTTACCACTTGAAATTATTCTGATAGATATTTTCATCGATTAGCTCAAATAGACTCAATTGAATCCGTCATTAGGGCTGTAATTTATTACTGCAGGTACACTTATGGCATATTTTTTGTCTGAGATAATGGGAATCATAAATATTTTTTACGAGCTGACCTCAGCACTAAATTAATGATGGAATGTGAGCAGCGAAATTTACCACTGGGAAAAGTGAGTAGTTATAAACCACTCATACTGATCTGTAGATTTCTGTAGCCACATCAGAGTGATCTGATAACCGGACAGCTATTTCACTCCTTTGTGGCCCAGATGATCAGCAGCGTACCCGGACATATTCAGCTGACACAGCTGAACTGTTCAAACAGCCTAAATACGCATAGCTGGACGAAGTGAGAATTGTTGTTGCTTTTGGAACTTCAAGTGACTAGCAGTAGTGGTAGTGTGAACAAGAAGATCGTTTTCTAGGAAAGATTCATGGACTGAAAACTATCTTAATATAGGGGTAAACCTTGGACACTGTGACAGATTTTAGAATGTCATTGTAATTTTTTTATTTGAATAATGTAATGTAATTTAACTGCTAAATTTATTTCTAACAGTCCAAAGGGGATCTGATATACTGAATGTAGCCATTTTTGAATGAGTCAAAATAGATTAATTCAATGCCGAAAACTATTAATCACAGTAGAATGTATGGTACTGTAAAGAT